GTGTGAAGATTGATTGTGAGGCATGTTCGTGATACAGGTCCAGACTAATGTCTGAACGGGGACTAATAAACTGTACCATTCCTTTCACCCTTTTTCTATATATCTAAGCTATGCAAATTTAAGTCCAAATCGAATTAAATATTAATATAAATTGTCTCCATAGACTATAAAACGTCATGTATATAATAATGTAAGTTAAGTAATGTAACATACACACAGACAGTGTAACCACAAAACCTCCTATTGTGTGTGTCAAACATTTAGACTACACCAATCTTCAAATTTATTTTTTTAAAAAAGATTAATTGCAATCTTTAATGAGTGGCATTGTATTAGACATATGCACTACAGAATTATTATACAATAAACTGTTGCAGCAATCAAGTCTGGATTAAAAAAAAAAGTATCCATCTGCGGATGCTAACTCAAGAGCTACATGTATTCATCGTTGTAGTACATAATCCAGGGTTGAATAGCTCACCTTCAGTTGATAACAAGGAAATTAAATCATCCACTAATAATGCAGCATTATATCCTGGGGTTCTTGAGATGTCAGCAAGTACGGCAGCTATTTTACATCTCACATGACCTTCCTTTTCATTATAATAATGTTCAAGAAGTTTTCTTATAGCTAAATCTACAATAAAGACAGAAGTGTTGTTTAGCAATAGTGACTCACTGAGTTTATATAATCAAAGTTAAATTCTACAGAATACAATCAGTATTATATAAAAAAAATATCCAAAAAAACACTATGACAATCAGAGAAGGTACATAGACATGATCCTAAAACCAATCATGTATACACATTAACCCAAGTACTATATACTAGTATCAAATTTGATCAAAATCTGCTCTGACTGGAATGGGAAAAAAAATATGTAAATCAGCTACTTAATATGCAAGGATATAGCTCAAAATTTAATGACGTTTGCACATTACCCCAATGTACCAAATTTGAACAAAATTCTCCCAGAAGGAATTTTGAGATTTTGTTTATCGCTCTTGTGTGCTTAAAAACGAAAAATAATTCAATAAAATTTTATGATCACAGAGACTGTAATACAGCATAACATATATATGTGGTCTGTACCTAATTCTTCATCATCAATTGTTGATAATTTCTGCGCAAATTGTATCAGTATGTTCAAAGCTTCATGTGGTGTATTAGTTGCCTGCAAATCCAATGGTAAACTAGCTCCCTTCACACGTTTCACCAAACGAAGACGCTTGACTGCAAGTTTTGGCTCTTCCTGTACAATACAAAGTAAACATGTGTCAGGTCAAAGGTCACACTAGCTATGTTGATGGCACCTTCTAAAATAAACATGGCTAAAGCGAATGCATTTAAGTAATATTTTTGTTTTCCTGATTCCCTGCACTCATGCCTTCCTGGTCTCCCGGACGTTTATGATAATAACAATATGCATCCCTTATATTTGTACGCATGGGGAATAGTAAATATCTAGAGTGTACCAAACTATTTCATTACCATGTTTTTATATAAGGCACACATTTTTCTGGCAACGTACTGAAAACAGTTTAACTTTGAGTGTTGTTTTGAGTCATTTTGAGCAGTGGTGACACACAAGTCAGGTGTTAATAACTAAACTACCGCAATTCATACGCTTTGAAATCTCTGATCACATCACATCACATCTATTTATAGTAATCAATACACTGCTCAACTGTGCTTGTGTGTGTATATAGAAGAGTATGGAAGGAATCTGTATACCCGAAGAGTTTGAAAACGGTGCACTTGCTATCCATGAGCAGAGCCATTTTGTTTGTTTGTTTCACAAATTATGTGAAGTGAGACGGCTCAATCATGATAAAGTATCTCCAGAATGTTGTTCAATGAAAAAGCAATCATTTTCTGGCAACAAACTGAAAATAGTTAACTTTGAATAGGATTTTGGTCATTTTGATCAGACCAACACACGAATCATGGAGGGCACCATCTTGAATCCTGCTCAACTTGTGTGTGAACTAATAACTCAACTTCTGCAGTCTGTGCGCTTCAACGCTCTATGGTTACGTCAGTTCTATTTTTAATAAATCAATAAACTTCTCAGCTGCACTCACTACCAGGCATTCCCTGTTACATACTAGCAGTTATATAGGAGAGTATGGAGGAAATCTATATACTCTAAAATTTCACAACATAATTAAATCTATTTATCAGAATGCCACTGGCTGTGTTAAACTAAAAGGTGGTTTAACTGCTAGCTTTCCAGTTCAAAAGGGTATCAGACAGGGAGATGGTTTAAGCCCACTCCTTTTCAATCTTTTCATTAATGATATCAAATGCCAGATAGAATCATCCAACAATGAACCTCCTTTACTTTTAAACAATCATTTGTAATGTTTGATGTATGCGGATGACCTCCTCCTCCTATCACAATCTAAAAATGGTCTGCAAAATGCAATACGCACAGTGGAAACATACTGCAAACACCGGAAACTAGATATCAATGTGTCAAATTATCATTTTTAACAAGCAAGGTAAAATACTAAGTAAGTTTCGATTTCAAATTAATAGCCAAAAATTGGAAAAACGTCTCATCATACACTTACCTTGGTGTTAAAATCAATGCTACTGGTAAACTGAACAGAGCTCAAGAAGACCTTAGTCACAGAGCAATGAAGGCACTTTTTAAACTAAAACAATTACTCTATGCAGACCCAAATATCCCAATCAAAACACATCTGACATTGTTTGATACTATGGTTAAACCAATTTTACTCTACTGTAGTGAAATCTGGACAGCGATATTATTAATATGCACT